CTGCCACTGCCACTTGGTAGCTGTGCTCTGTTGGAGCTCACAGGACGTTGCGGGCACTGCTGAGCTCCTGTAAGATGAGGAGACAACAGCCTACCTCAGGGCTCAGGAGTGAAGGGTAACACATGAGTGCCGGCACAGGGAGTGTGCAAACAGTTTAGCAACTGCCACCTTCTACTCCGGCCAAGACTGCTTTCCACGTAATCACCCCCATAAAGGCCCTATCTCTAAATATAGTCATAGTCAGAGGCACGGGGGGGGCGGGGAGTAGGAGTTTTTTGGGGGGCACATAATCAGTCCTTAACACTAAGTGAAATAAGCCAGAAACCAAAAGGCAGATATCGTCTGATTCCTCTTACCTGTGATACCTAGAATAAGCAACTTCCTAGGGACAGAAAGTAGAGTAGGGGTTCCAGAGGGGGTGAGGAGGATGGGGCGTTATTGTTTAATGGATGTGGGCGTCTGTTTGACATGATGGAAACATTCTGAGCTGGGTAGTGATGATGGTTGTATAGCACTGCGCCACTGAATTGCACACTTAGAAATGGTTAAAATGGTAAATTTTATGTTATGTACATCTTACCACAATTAAAAAAAAGACTAACAAGAGTGAGGGGGGTGGGGAGAACGTTTCCATTCAGGACTGTAAAAAGTGCTGGATTCAGAGACTCAGCTGGATTCTAGTTTTGTCTGGGGACAAGGCTGCCTTGTCTAGTCCAGGGACTTGAGGTGGGTGCGGTGGGCATAGGTGTGGGAGTCCCTCTGTAGGGCATGGCAAGTTTAGAAGTCTGGGGTTTGAGGTGGAGTGTCAGCCAATTGGAGACCAGGTCCTGCCACTTACCTAGTAGTGAGGTTATAGGAGCAGTGCTAGGCGGTGCCTGGGTTTTCTCTTACTCTGCAAGGAGCAATGCGTGGAGCCCACAGACCAAGGTTTCACCTGCAGCTCCCCTCTTCCCAGCTGACTGACCAGGGGCAACTGCCATGACCTTTGAGCCTCCTTTTTTTCATCTGTATAATGGGAGCAAAATGACTGGGACTGAGGATCTCAGCGAGATCAGACATATGGCAGGATTAGGCTTCCTGCCCTGTGCGTACTAGTAGTAGGTGCTTACAAATGGCAGTGAATTTGAGTACCAGTGGTTAAGTTGCCTTTCTTCCTCAGGCCTTGAGTCTCTTTCATCTTTCCACAGATGTTTAGTGTGCACCTACTATGTGTTGGGACTAGTGTGATGAACAAGACATGTTCTCTGCCTCATGGCACTTGTTTTCTATGCGGGGAAACAGATTATAGACAAGGAAACAAACACATCTGTAATTGCGAATTGTAATTACCTCTGTAAAGGGAGAGATGTGTGTGTGTGTGTGTGTGTGTGTGTGTGTGTGTAACTTAAGGGAGTCAGGGAGGGCCTCTCTGGGGTGGTGACATCGAAGCCAAAGCCAGAAGGACGGGAAGGACCCAGCTATGCTCACAGCTGGGCTAAGAGCATCTCAGGCAGAGGGAACAGCATGTGCGGAGGCCCGGAGGAAGAACAGAGCTAGGTGTCCAAGGCACTGAGAGGAGATCACCGTTATGTGTGGCTTTGGGTCCTGGACAAGGAGGGTGGGTACAGAATGACAGTGGAGAGGAGAGCAGGGCCGGGTCATGCAGGCAGCTCCCCGCCTGGGCTGGCTGCTGGCTGGCGCTTTAGACCCTCATGTCCTGGGGTGGGGGAGGTGGGGCTCCAAGGACGCATCCTTGTTGTTGGCCTTGTGCCCAGGGACTTTGGAAGTTCAGAAAATACTGGTGGGGGCTGACGAATGCCAGGCCTCGGCCCTGGCCTGGGCCTGGTAACACTCACCTCCTGGCTGCAGCCCAGTTCTCCCTCACAGGCTCTGGAGCCAGACTGCCCTGCTGCACTGACCTGGGGCACATCGTTCCCTTTTCTGTGTCGTAGTTTCTTCATCTGTGAAATGGGGGTAATAGCAGTATCTACCCCATACATTCTTCATTAGGATCAAGTGAGTCCAAGGAAAGGGCTCAGGACAGTAGCTGTTGCATAGCTGCGCTCCTTAAGCTGTCACTGCTGTCATTGTGAATGGCTCCGTGGAAAGTAGTGTTTACCGAAGAGTCAGCACAGGGGGCAGAGAGGGTAGGGCATGCCTCTCCCTGGAGCCAGACCGCTGGCTTGGCAGCCGGGCTCCTCTGTGGGACAGCTTGTTCACCTCTCTGTGCCGCAGTCTCCTCATCCACAGGATGGGATGCTCAGGGCTGCTGTGAGAATTGGAGGGTTAAGTTATGCAAAGTGTGAAGAACAGGGCTGGCCTGTAACAAGTGTGATGGGAATAGTGGCTGTGCTGCTGTTTTATTATTAGATTCTTCAGAGTTGAAAGACTGAGCCTCAGGCCCGCTCAGCCCGCAGTGTGTAGGTGGGTAGTTGGAGGAGGCTCACCTGAGGCTGACTTCCTGGGTCCGAGCCCTGCAACGCTATGCTGCCAGCCCTGGGACTGGGCGGGTGGCAGGGCTGGCATCGAGAGTCCCTGCAGACCCCCTGGAGTCACCCCCTTTGCAGAGGGAGGACCCTTGCTTGGGTCCCCACGGGACAGGGGGAGTGGTCACTGCTGACACCAGGAGTGTGGGGCCACAGGGCACAGGCCTCCGAGTGGCAGGGGGCCTTGGCTCTCCCTGGCACATTCCAGGTTCCTGAGAGGGTGGCCAGGGGCCAGGGTGCCGGAGGGAAGGAGAGAGCCTTTTAAGGAAACATTTCTCTGCTTAGAAAATGAGAGAGAGAGAGAGAGAATATCAGGGAAACACACAACAAAGTTAGTGGTCTGGCCGCAGGCTGGCTGGCATGCACAGCTATGGGCACGGGTGGAGGAGGTCTTGGGGGCACCCAGGCATCAGGCCCTCTAGCTGGGGCCCACTGCTGCACCCCAGATCCAAGTCCTTAAGGGGTGACTCTGCTTAGGGCTGTCTCTGCCTCTGGGGGATGGAAAGAGACGTGGGGTCCCTTCTTTGCACTGCCTTTGGGTGGTGCTGGGAGAGAGACCCTCCCACTTTTTTCTGAGGATGTCTGCCCGTTCTGCCCCTGCCCAAAATGTATTTGTAACCCCCTCACTTCCCCAACCCCAGTCCCAAATGGAGAGTGTGTAAGGAAGAAAGGACCGGAGGGCACTGTCCAAGGGTGACTGCTGGAATGGCGAGAGAAGACCTGGGGGCCTGGCCTCATCAGGTGAAACCTACAAGCTCCCGACTGGGGTTGGGGCAGCAGGTGGGAGGAGAGAGGGAGGAAGCCACTGCTAGATGCAGACTCCTGCCCTGACCCTGGCAGGCAGGGCCGTGTCCCCCTGGCCGAGACCTTGTCTGGTGGGCAAGGCGGGCAGGGAGCCCTGCAGGCCACAGTCACCTCTGGGACCTTCCCTTCCTCCCGGTCTGTTCTCCTGGCACCCTCCACCCCACCCCTTCCACTGATCAGCTGTGTGACTTTGGGCAAGTGTTTAACTTCCCTGCGCCCCCTGCACCTCAACCAGAGGTATAACAGTAGCTTTACGTGGGCAAAGCACTGATATTAATGCCTGTCATATAGTACATATTCTGTAAGTGTTAGATGCTGTCTCTATTTTTGGCTTTGTATGTGATTTTCCCACCAGTCCTAGGATAAAGTTGTGTACAGGGTGATGGACACTTTGCTGGAGAATGGGTGGGGAGGCGGGGAGCAGGTGGGGGGACAGGGAGCCTGTAGCATGGCTGAGTTAAGAAGCAGAGATGCTGTCAGCCTCTCCAGCCTCCCAGGGTTCAGGGCACACTGTTACGTGGGTGTTGTCCCCTTCTGAGCTGGTGTGTCAAGCCGGGGTATCCCTTAGGCTGGTCAGACGACAGAACGGGTTAGATGGAGGGAGGGCCTGGCTAAGGGTGGCCTCTATGAACCGCCAGCCCCAGCCAGGGCTGTGGGCTGTCTCCGTCACTGCTCCACTGGGTAGTGGCGGGGGTGGGGGTGGGGGGTCTCCCACTCTCCGAGGAGGCAGCCACCCCCTTTGGCCATCCACAGCTTGTGACCAGACATCCTCATGCCCCAGGGAGAGCCTCCCCCTTCGTTCCCTCTGTGGGCCCCCTGCCTGGTGCTCGGGTCAGGAATGGAGCCAAGATTGAGGTATGAGCTCCAAGAAAAACGTGTCCCAGCTAGAAAAAAGGAACACATTGAGTCTCTGATAAAGGCCCCTGCTAATTGTCAGGGTAGAGGTTTGGCTGCCTGGCCTGGCTGAGGGATGTTATCTTAGGGTAGGAGCAATCCAGCCCTCCCTCTACCCCCCCTCCCTCTGTCTGGAGGCCCAAGTTGCCACCTGCCCCCCCCCCCCCCAGGTCATCAGAGAGAAAGATGAGGATGATGATAAAATAATAGCTCACCCATAGAGGGTGCTTTCAGCTCTCCAGACCTCTGTGTTTATTAGTGACGGGGTGGCTTTCTTTGGGAGAGCTGGCAGGGGCCTGTCACCCACCTGTTTCCCACGTGCTTTGGGAAATTGCCAGCTGCCTGCACTCTGACCTACGGGTGAAACACCTTGGCATTGGGGAGAACGAACAGGCAACTCTTCCCTTTCTAGAGACCTTAAATACGTTTTACAAAAATTCCAAACACATCTTACCATATTGCAGAAAATTCAGAAAATAGAAGAACAAAGACAATAAACCCTTATTTTTCTTACCATTTAATCCCGTTATGAAAATTCTGGTGCATTGACCTTCAGTCTTTCAGTGTCTGCATATTTCTACAGAATTTAAAAATAGCGATGTGCATTTCATTTTTGCCTTTCGCAGCCCCCCTCCCCACTAGCGGTGTTGCCTAAGTATTTTTCCATGTTGCCACATAATCTTCCAATGAACTCTCAGCCTGCAGAGTGTCCATGTGTGTGAGTTGAGGGAAGGGGTGTCTCGCATGGAGGTGGCGGCTGTGGAATGATCTCAGGAGGCCCTGGTTTTCTGTAGGAATGAAAGATGCTAACCTTGCCTTTCTCTGTTCCTCCCACAGGTGGCTGCCCCCTGCATTCCTCCATCCAACCATGAATTGGTGGTGAGTGACAGTCCGTTCCCTACCCTGCCAGCCCCTCCTCCCCTCTGTCCTCTGCTCCCAGCTGCAGCTTACTTCAGATCCAAGCATGCTGGCAGCCCCCAAGGGTGCCGGGTAATTGGGTAAGGGAAAGGAGGGGGCCTTGTTCCGAGAGGCTGAAGCTGGACTGGGAGGAAATGAGTCATGAGGTCCCTTCTGATGGGATGCAGGGCCTCCTATTTCAATCTGGAGACTAAAGTCCTTGGAAAAAACCATAAAAGGGCATCTTGCCTGTCTGCAGGCCTGGCCAGGTGCCTGTTGTCCTGGAGCTTACAGAACTAGGGGATAGCATCTCCTCCCACCCACTTGGTCCTGGGTCAGGTACCCTTCAGCTGGAGGCAGGGGGATGGACAGCATGATCCACAGAATTCATCTGCCTGGGCAGCTGCTCTCATTCAGGTGGCCTCTTCCACCTCCATGCTGTTTGCTGATTCTGCTTTTCTGCTCTTGGGTGTCCTCCACTCCTCCCTCCCTTCCCCAGTGGGACTTCAGAAAAGCATGGACAGGACAGGGCTCCTGTGAGTTGTGGACTGATCCCAGCTGGGCTGATTGGAAATGTTGGGAGCTTTTCCCTCCTGCCCTCTCACTGCATTCTTACCCTTCAGAGGCCCCTCCTGCACCTCACCCACAGCTGGAGGTGGGCAGGGCCTGGAGGCTGGAAGAGAGGAGCCTGCAGGCCTGCAGGTGTGCGCTTGTGTGTGTGTGTGTGTATGTGTGTGTGTGCAGAGGAGAGTCATGGAGGGGCCCTATGGTCACAATTTGACCCACTGTGCAAAGGGGCAAGTGATGACACGGATGTGGGTGGGGACCTGGGGGAGGGACAAGGGTGTCATGGGGTCTGGCAGTTACAGGTGTCTGCACACCTGTGCAGTGACCTGCCTGCCTGGATACTGGAATCTCAGCCAGGCCACCTGGTCTTTTGCCAGGTGGCAATGGTCCTGTCCCGCCCTCTTTCTGGACTTCAGTTTCCCTTTCCGTCACAGAGATGGCTGAACTAGATGCTCGAGAGGCCTTCTCAGTGCTGATTAAGTATTCCCTCCATTCAGGGTTGTTAATGGAATGAATTAAAGTATGTAAAAGTGCTGGTGGCTCTTAGACGCCTCCTGGGCCCAGCACAGCGCCACCTCTCTCTGCACATGGGCTCAGGCCCTGCCAAGTGTGTCCCTTGTTTGCAGCGGCCCCTCCTCCCTTCTGAGCCTCAGCTCTGCCCAGCTGTGCCGCTCCAGATGTGGAACCCAACTGTGCGGAGCCCAGTTGAAGGTCATCTGACAACAGCAGTGGGTGTAGGTGGGGGGCGAGCTGGGTGCTGCAGGGATGAGGCCAGAGTGTAGGCCTGGTTTGGAGCTGCCAGTAAGAAATCTCTCTGGGATTTCAGAGAGACACTGTGGAGGGCGGGCAGGAAGGGTGAGGTGGGGTGAGCAGACCTCTCATCATTCCAACCCAACTGCCACTCTGCCCCTGAGAACAGAATGTCCTTGGCTGGTCTAGGACGGCTGGGGGTCTGGGGTTTAGGGCTCTCCAGGCAGAAGCCAGATGCCTGGCCACCAGGAGTGAGCTTTGTTTATGTGAGGAAGGGTCAGGGGTTGGGACAAGAGGGAATGGTTGGCATTCCAGCTGGAGAGGTTGTGGTTAGAACCAGGAGGAGGGAGGCCGGGGAATCTTCTCATCTCTGTGATGCGCCCAACCTGTGCCCAGGCTCTGCCCTTCACGGAGGTTGGTCAACCACCTGGTGGTGAAGTGGCTGTGACATCAGATTGTGCTTTCAGAGGCCCCCCCACCTGAGTCAGAACCGATCCCCAACAGTGGTCAAGAGCAGGGGCGTTCGACCACCTCCCTGTGGATCCCAGTTCCCTGTGACCTTGGACACATTGCTTAACCTCTCTTGACCTTAGTTTGCCTGCTGCAGATTGGGAGTTGGAAATATTACTTACCTTGTAAGGTTAAGAGAAGAAAAGGAGTAATTAACCCGTTGAATTAGCATGTATTCAGGATCCTCCAATGGCTGCCCACTTTATTGGGAGTGAAAGTCCAAGGTTCTTCCATGGGCTTGTACAGCCTCCAGGAGAGTTTCCTCTCTGACCTCATCTCCCCCTTGCTCACTCTGCTAGCCCTTCCTGCTGGTCTTTGAATAAACCAGTCAGGATGCTGCCCCAGGGCCTTTGCATTTGCTATTCCTTCTGCCTGGAATGCTCCTCCCTCCCTGTCCCCCCCACAGATACCTCAGGGCTCTTTCCTTCCCTCAAGTGTCAGCATTTTCCTTCCCCCAACAACCTTATCTCCCTTCCCTGCTTTCTTTGCCTCCCAGCATGCATTGCCATCTGATAAGCCCTGAGTCTTATTTGCTTGTCTTGTTTAAGAGGCTCCCCCTACCCCCACCAGCATGTAAATTCCATGACTAGGGATTTTTCTGTGCTGTGTTCAGTGCTGTAACCCTATGGTCTGGCACACAGTAGGTACTCAGTACGTGTTTATTGAGTGACAGGGAGACAGGCGTTCAGTCAATGCCTGGTAGATTAGGTTCTCAGTAAACAGGACTGCTGCTGGGTGGGAGGCCTGCCTCCAGCTGGAAGCTCAGTGCTGTCCTCAGGGAGTGAGAAAGTGGCCCAGGCGAAATGGGAGAAAGTTTGGCTCCCCCCAGAGAGCACTTAGCACCTGTTTCCTCACTGAGGGCGAGGCAAGTGCTCTGAGCCGGTTCAAAGAGGGAGGAAAGGGCGGGCTGTATTTTTCCTTCCTTTTCCATTCTCTGCCTGCCCTTCAGCCTCTGCAGGGCTGGACTCAGGCCTCCCTGCCCCCTCCCTCTTGCCTCACACCGTGTGTCTGTCTGCCTGTCATATTTTCTCTATGTCCCCAGCTCACCCACTTTGCTTGAATCCTACTCCCCTGGGATCAGGACCATCATCCCTGGACATAGGATTTCAGCCCAGCCTCAGGGCCCCGCGAGCCAAACACATTTTCCAGCCTGTGCCAGGCCAGCCAGGGCAAAGTGGCTTAATCTTCAACCAGTGTTTTCGTCTTACTCAACAGATGTTGCTAAGGCCTTTGGTAGAAGGGTCCTATGGTCACGTCCCTCCTGGACTCCATGGGTCGGGGCAGGATGGAGAGGGAGAGCCCTTGTTTGCCGTGGACACTCCTGATCCTTGGAAAGAGCTGAAGCAGCTTTTCTCAACTTCTGAAAAATAAGAGTCAGAAGGAATTTCCCGAGGATGATAGCCAAACGAGTGGCCACCAAAGTCGGCCGGATGCTGAGCCCTCTGCACATGCAGCCTGGCACCCGGGGGACCTGGACTGGGGGAGCCGGGCCAGCCCCACAAAGGGGGCTTGAGATGTCCTTGTGAACCGGAGCGTGGGGTGGGGGTGGGGGGATGTGTGTCTGACGGGGGAGTGATCACTTATGTTAGTTTGAACTTCAGGCCCTAATGAATTTCATCTAAGGACACTGAGGGTCCTGGGTGGCCATTTTTGGGGGATTCTTAAAAATGGAGCAAGGCCAGGAGAGATGAGTCTGAGAAAGCCTTCAAAGAAGAGAGTGATTCTGGGCATTGCCTTCCAAAGAGGGTTTCCAGAGTGGTGAGGCGGGTGGACATCCTAGTTTGTGCAACAGCTAGAGTGGCTTAGTCTGGAGAGGGAAAATATGGGGGGTGGGGGTGCAGAATGGGAGTGAGAACGTGCTGAAAGGGCAAATTTGCTTATTTTCTGTTGCTCTCCAAAGTGGATCCTAGTAGGTAGAGCTTCTATAGAGAGGAGGAGATTTGGGTTAAAGAAACAGCAAAGCTCTCTACCACCTACAATGGCACAGCGGGACCAATCACATCACGGGAGTCGCTGTCACTGGGACACATGCTCACTGACACCTATTAGGGGTAAGGCAGCTGCTGATGGGAGGTTGTCTTCCTGGGCAGTCTTGGGTGGAAATCCTCAGGGCCCACTGAGGTCCTGCTCTCAGGTTGGGCTGTGAAGGAACATGGTCCCTGGAGGTCAAGGCATCCATGAATGTGCTGACCACCTGCCCTAGGATCCCCACTGGGAGAGGCCCCAGTCCGATGAAGCATCCTGCCCTTGGGGGACCATGCTCAGGGGGAAAGAGAGAGAGAGAACTATATTATGGAAACAATTAGTGCTCGGCTAGGGGGTTCTGACCAGAGAGGTAGCCTTTGGGGTCCAGGGTAGGAAGCGATCAGTTTGTGCTGCAGTGGTTGAGGAAGTCCTATTCTGAGTCCAATTTAAGATTTCAGCAATGGAAGAGAGGAGAGAAGAAGGAGAGAGGGCCTTTCACAAGGTGGCAGAGCTGAAGTAGAGAAGGGGCAGGGCCTTGGTACAAATTACCAAGACCGATGGGGCCCAGGGCAAATCCAATGTCCTTGCTGGGGAGACGAGAGGGCCAGGCCATGTTGCCTTACCTTGGTGGCTGTGGCTGGGGTGCTGGCGGGAACAGCCTGAGTGGGAACAAGCATGGCATTCATGGTGAGCAGAGAGGAGGTGTGAGCGGATAGAGAGGAGAGAGGGGAAGGCAGTGGAATCCACCCAAGGAGGAAGGGGCCGCTTAAGGGAGGAGTCCAGAAGTCATATTGGGGAACTTGAACTTGATGAGCTAAGCACTAAGAGCCATTATGGGTCCTTGAGTGGGGAAATGTCCCTAAGCAGGGTTTGAGAGCTGGGAGTCAGCTGCCAGCTGCGGGGTGTGGCCTGGCGGCGGTGAGGGGGCTGCCAGGGGGAGGGCTGGGGACACCAGATGAGGCTGGTACAGGTGCTCAGCGTGGGCAAAGGCGACCAGAGGGGCCTGGAGGAAGGGCCTACGGAAGCACAGACTCCCAGTTCCCTGGCTGACAGGTAGAACAGCATCCAGGGGGGAGGCTGGCAGGAGGAGGTGAAAAATATTCCAGTCTGGCGAGCATGTGTGAGCGGGTGGGATGGGAGTGCCCACAGGTGCCCAGCCTCAGCTGGGAGCTGGGTGCTGGTCCTTCCGGGTGAGTTGAGAAGGGCCTGAGGACAGGAGTGGGCTTGCCCAGGCCCCTCCCTGGGAGGTGTAGGAAAATCAGGCATCACGTTTCATTGATCATAACCAGCCTGTTCTTTTTCCCTGGTGGCCCTGGCCTGCCTGGGAGAGGATGTGGCCCCTGGAGCAACTTCACCCACTCAGGGGACCCCGGCGGCTGGCCTCCCTCCCGCCCTAGCGGGGTCCAGCCCTGCCTCTCTGTGCCCTCCCTCCAGCCCCTCACCCACCTGCCCCCGTCAGCTCCCTCTCCTGGGATGGTAGGAAGTAATATTCCCTGAGGGGTGAATACAGGCTTTGAGGGGCAGACCTGAGCTCCTATGGAGCTGGCCAATCTCCCCGGTGACTCAGTTTCCTCATTTGCCAAAAGGGGTTCAAAGTGCTCCGTCCGTCTGTCGGCTGCTGTAGCCACCGCTGTAGTTGTTTTTGTTATTATCTGTTGATGCCCCCCCCCCCCCTCCGGCTGTGGGGTGTATAATGTGCCATCCTTGCCACGCCCCCTCTAAGTGCCCAGTAAATGGTGCTGCCCTGCCCTTCTCTCTTGCTTTCAGCCCCCTCCCTTCATCTGCTTAGGGTTCTATTTTTAGAACAAGTGAGCCTGGAATAACCTCCTCTGGGTCCTGGGGCTGAGGACATTCCAGCCCCCATGGCCCCACCCGCCAGCTCCCTTTCCCTCCTAAATGGTTGTGCTGCCGTGACCTCACAGTTCGTCGCCATGGCAGCAGATGTGATGTCACAAGGTCTTTTGACCTGAAAAATTGTCCAGATTCCACGCCTCCCAGGGGGCAAGAGTAGAAAGAGCTGGAGGGGGGAAGGGGAGAGGGTGTGAGGAATTTCTGGACGGAATGTTCCTCTGGAGGCTGAGTCCGCATTCTGCGCCAGCCCCCTCCCCCCAGCTCCAGGCTTGGGCACCTCCCCCACCCGCTATGGCCCTCTGTCTTTTCCTTCCTCCAAAACAGCAGCCCACAGATACATTTTTCCCAGCCCACCCTCCCTGAGGCCGCCAGCATGTCCTGCTGCATGAACTCCATGCTGTCATCTCAGCCACCCCAGCCTCTGCAGAAAGGCCCTTCCTGGGGCCCATACAGTTGGCAGTGGGTAAATGCAGGCATGGAGAGGGCATGCATGTCTTTTATTTTTTTGGGGGCTTTTTTTTTTCTTTATTGATTAAGGTATTACATATGTGTCCTTTCCCCCCCATTTTTCCCCCCCCCCCCCCAAGACCCCGCGGCATGCATGTCTTTTTTGGGGAAAAACTTGAGGAAAGGATGTGCAGCTTCCTTTAGCCGCCCTGTGGTTCTCAGCCCCTCACATTCAGGAAGTTCTCTCTGTTGTCTGACCTCAGTCTCTCCTGCTGCAGCCCATTTCCTCCTCTTCCTATGCAAGTGTATTGCAGACGTCTTCCTCTGGAGGACCGGAGACAATTAGTCTTTAAGTCGCAGAAAGCTTGTTCCCAGCAGGAGGGCAGTTGATTTAAGGGTAAGAGGAACTGAATAGAGATCATCTCCAGGAGAGACAGAGCGGAAAGGATGGGTGTAAGGAGCAGGGTTCAAATACCAGCCCTCTTAGCTACCTATTAGCTAACCTTGGGCAAGTTATTTAATATGGCGGACTCTCAGTCTCCTCAACTGTAAAATGGGTTAATGCTTATCTTGTGCACTTTGGTTATGCGGATGGCTATGAGGATTGATGTCCATGAAAGCCAAGAATCTAATACTATGTATGCCCAACGATGCATTAACTCGTAATGAGTCATTGTTGTTATTGTGTTAACATTATGAAAGGCATCTCCAGCCCAGGGCCAGGCAGAGGAAGGCCAGTGAGGCCTCCAGGGTGCAAAATTCAAGGAGGCCTCACTCTCAGGGCTGTGCGGTGCACTTGGAGCAGCCTGAGAATGGGTGCCTCCTTAAACATTCTGCTCCTCGCCTCACCCGAGCCCCTGCCTTGCTCCAGACTCCCGGGTTTGGGATCCTAGAGTAGAGTGGTCCTCCAAGAGCAAGACTTGGTCATCAAGTGGCACCAGATCCATACCCTGCCACCTGCTCCTGAGCTGAGCTCAAGTTGTCCAGCCTGGAGGCCAGGGGCATTCTGAAGACCCCTGGTGGGGCTGTGGTCAGCTGCCCAGAAAGTCTGGGTCCTTGAGATCTAGGTTTTTTTTCTGGGACTGGGCAGTGGGTAGGGACAGATGGGGACAGCCCCCATCTGGGCTCCATCTGCTCGGCCCTTCTGCAGCTGAACCTCAGGAGGAAGGAAGAGAAGAGCCCACAGGGAGGCGGGGGACAGGGTGGAGGGGCTGCGAGGTGAGCTCAGCAGTGGGCTTTACAAAACTCGTGCCAACTCTGATCCTGCCATTAACGTTACCCTGAGAAGCTGGGCCAGTCAGACCTCTCTGCACCTCAGGAGAGAGGAGATGGGGTCTGAAGTCCCTTTCAGAGCTGTTCTGAGGAGTGGTGTGGGAGGATGGAGGTGTGGGTGTACACGTGTGTGTGCACGTGTGGGAGTGGGTGGGGTGTCTGTGTTGCTGAAGGGGCTCTGCCAGCCATTGGAACTCTGGGGCGGCCACTTCAGAAGTCCGCAGCTGGGGTGGTCTGGTAGCTTCCCTATAGCATGCCCAGGGCCTGGGGCAGGCTTGGCTTCAGGGGAGGCCACCCTCATGTTACCAGTCCCTTGCCTTTTTCATTCCCAGTCGGCCCAGAACTGGCAGTTCCTGGGAAACAGAAGCAGGACTTCAGTCCCGGAGGACTGGGAAGGGGAGGGTGGGAGCACGGCATGCATGCTGGGCCGTGTTTGCAAACACTGCAGGAAAACGCTGGGTGTTCAGGTCAGGAGGGGTTTTTGGAAATTTTTAGCTCTTCAGAAAGTATCTCAACCAGTAAGTTGAAGGCATTTGATGGCTGGCAAGCGTCTTTCTGTGGCCGGCTTCCAGCTGGCCCGGGGAAAGGGGTGGGGGCCAAGGTTACGGTGCTCAGATGATTGTTGGCAGGGAGAGAAGTTTCTCTTGCACTGCTGAGGCCTGTGGTTTCTAATATTGACTCCGACTCCCTGGTCTGCTTTGTGCCAGACCTGGGAGGGGTTGGGCAGGAGGGTCAAGGTGGGGCAGGGTGGGCCACAGGAGGAGGGCCTGGGGTGTGTGGGGTGGAGAGGATAAATAACTGCTAGCATTTACTGAGCGCGTTCTAAGTGCCAGGCCCTGTTCTAAGTGCTTTATGTGCTTCTTCTCATTTGATTCTTTCAACATAGAGCCAGTCTGTCCCATTGAGGAGCAGCACGGATGGAGCGACCCGCTTGAGGTCACACAGTTAGCAGTAGAGACAGTCTGTTTAGACCAGCGCTTCTCAAAGGGCCATCCCCAGACCTGGAAACCTGTTAGAAATGCACATTCTCGGGCCCCACCCGAATTCTGCTGGATCAACCCTCTGGGGAGGGCGCAGCCCCTGTGTGTCCACAGCCCTCTAGGTGTTTCTGAGTCACACTCAAGTTCCAGGCGCCCTGGCTCACACTCTCCTCTTCAGGAGAGTCGTGGCCTCCGGGAGGTTTCCCCCAACGCTGGATGAGGGCTCTCGAGGGCCTGCAGTATCCTGGGGCAGGCACTTCCTCTGCAGCTTCTCCATCTCACCCCATTGCTGTCCTTTCTGAACAGTCTGTCTGGAGAGGCTGGCTCAGCAGAGTGAAGGGTGAGGGCTTTGGAGTGGGGAGAGCTGGGTTCAGATCTCTGCTCTGCAGACTCTGCATATAGAAGGTCTCTGTGATCTGCCCTCCAGGTGTGTTCCTCCTCCCCGCAGGGGGCCAGAGAGGAGGTGCTCCCGCCCAGCCCACGGTCTCCACGGGAGCATCACAGAGCCCTGGATCAAAGGGACAAGTGGGGTCAGAGGGCCAGGATTTCCCAGTGGGCTCATTTGCTCCCGGCCCAGTGGCCTGTGGCTCAGCAGCGGGGGCTCTGGGAGGTGGCTGGGCGAGGATTAGGCTGGGCTGGGACGGGATGGGATGTGTCATCTTTACTCCTCCAGAGCCATCCTCAAACTCCATGCGGGTCGGCCTGAGGGCTAGAGGGGCTTCCTGATGTGCCTCCCCGCCTCCTGCTCCATTCCTGGACCCTGTCCTCTCTCATCCATCCTAAGCTGCCTTGGCCCTGAAGTACGCTCAGGAGGTTTCATCCCCTGGAAGGAAGTTTTGGCCTCAGCCACCCGTCTTCTTTCCAGACAGGAGGGGTAAAGTCTGGGCCATTTCCAGAAAGAGCACGGCTGCCTTCAGCTTAGCCGGCCTTCTTCCTCCATGTCCGCTCGGCCAGTTCTCCCTGGCGCCAGACCCTCTCAGTGGTCATTCTGTCCATTCCTCTGTCTTCAGACACAGACAGCTTGTCCCTCAGGTCCCGGGCTGAGACAGCCTGTCCTAACTGGGCCCACACTCATCTCGGCAGAGGCCTGTTTCATGACCTTGGCAGTCATGCTCACGTCCTTCTGTATGGTTCAGGGGCCCCCGAACCACTTTGCTAAGTTGGAAATGGAGCCCTAGAAACTGGTCAGGAGGTGGCCTTGGAATGGGAAGTTTCTCTCCTGTTTTGGGGGAGTCCTAGGAACCTGTTTTTCAGGTTGCCTTTAGCAGGAAGCACTTCTATTGGTCTGGGCAGGGGAAGGGTGGCCCTGGGGCGAGCGGCAGGACCAGTCCACAGGTGTTTATTGATGGCCTGCTATCCATAACCAGAGGCCCTGGCATGAGGGATATGGCATATGAGTTGGTAAAAATGCTGCTTTGAATATGTTTTGGAGGCAGGTGGGATAGAATCACAAATAAAACAAAACATATTCCTATGATATGATTATTCATGTGTCAATGACCAGATGAATGGCACTGACAGAGAGACGTACTGGAGTTGAAAGGTGGGAGAGAGTTCTCCTTGCTGAGGTATTCAGGGAGGGCTTCCTTGCTGAGGTATTCAGGGAGGGCTTCATGGAGGAGGAGAGCTTTTAGGAAAAGAGGGGAAGCAGTTCCACCAGGAAAGGCCTGGATGTGAGAACAAGTAAAGGGATATAGGGGGCAGGTCTGGGTGGAGCAGAGCTTTTGGGCATGAAAACTGAGGTCTGTGAAGGGGCAGGGCCAATGCAGAGGGGAGGCCTTGAAGAGTTAGGACCCACAGGCCTCTCATCCCAGGCTGCTGCCACTTCACACAAAGAGCAAGAAGTGCAGAGCCCAAGGTGGGATTCAAATCCTGTTGTCCCCATTAGTAGTTGATGACTTGGGCCACTCATTTAACTTCTGCATATCTGTAAAGTGGGCCTCAAAAGTAATAATGGGCTCTGGCTGGTGTGGTCAGTGGTCGGAGTGTTGGCCTGCACACTGAAGGGTCTCAGGCTTGATTCTGGGTCAAGGGCACATATTTGGGTTGCAGGTTTACTCCCCATTCCCGGATAGGCTGTGTGCAGGAGGTAACCAGTCAATGTGTCTCTCTCACATGATGTTTCTCTCTCTCTCTCTCTCTACCGCCCTCCTTCCCTTCCACTCTCTCTGAGAAGCAATGGAAAAAATATCCTCAGGTGAGGATTTAAAAAAAAAAGGTAATAATGGTGCCTACATCACAGGTGCTTGTGGTGGAGGAGACGGTATTGATGAAAACGCCTGGCGCGTTGGCACAGTGACGGTGACTCTCTCCTTGTTCCTTTTTGAACCGTCAGCGACTGCCCGAGCCAGAGGCCTGGCTGATGTTTGTCCAGGTGGATGTTTGCAGTACCAATAGGAAGTTTTTTATTTTCCAAACTGTGCCTCCCAACGTGGGGACAGCCAGGTTCCATCTTGGGTTGGAGTCATGTCCTGCCTCTGGAGGCATTCTGTCCCCATGGCCATCGGCCTTGGAGAGAGAGCCAATCTGGGGGTGTTTGTCCTGAGGACTCACGCTGCCTTTCCCCTTTGTCCACAGCCTGTCAACACGGAGAGTGCACCAAAGAATGTAGTGGACACGGTGAGTGACAGCAGGCTCCGGGGTGGGGTGGCGGGGAGCCGCCTGGGAGACAGGAAAGCGGAAGATGGATTTGGGGAAAGTGAACAGATGTGTTTGGGGATATCCTTCTGGAGTAGATATGGGGAAGTTGGGGGAAGTGGTGGGGCCATGGGTGACGTTGGGGGCTGGTGCATTTGGAAATGGATTCCTGGGGAACTAGGCAGGCCGAGCAGGAGAGGCAGGAGAGGCAGGGGTGGGAGCGGAGAGAGAGAGGCCAGTGGTTAAATGTGGGTTTCTTTATTAAATATGTAGGAATTGGGAAAGCCAGGCAGATCTTTCCGAATAGATCTTTCTGACTTAGCAGAGAGACAGACAATCTCAAGGCTGCAAGGAGGAGGAAGAGGAAAAAGTCAGTGGGCCCTGAAGTGGGAACTGAGGTTAGCAGCTGTGAGGTGTCTCGGGCAATGGCCGGTGTTGAATGGCTTGGAGCGGGAGACTCGGGTTTAAATCCTAACCCCCACCCCACTCCACCCCGGGCCCTTCTGCAAATCCTCTGACCCCCCACCCCTGCCAAACCCAGCAGGTAAAAGACCTAGTGCTTTTTGATTACTTTCTTTGATTCCCCTTTCTTACTGTCTTGTCCCTCTCTCTCCAGGGAGAAGGAACCTTCCGGGGTGGGAACACTCGGAAAAGCCTTGAGGAAGACGTAAGTATGGGGGGGACGGGTAGAGAAGCATGTGGCTGGGCTCCTGGTGCTCAGAGGGGCTGGGGATGGCTGGGTGATATCTCACACCTCTCTTGTTTGGTGGGGCGTCCCTTCCTCCTCTCCAGAGGGCAGGCAGGGTTGCCCAGCTTGGTTGCTGAGCAAGGGAGGAGGGGCTGGGTGAGCAGACCCCATCTACTTATACACTGGGCCTCAGTCTTGGCCTTGGCCTCCAGCTCAGCTGGGTCCAGAGCACTTTTGCCCATCACTTTGTCAGGGTGGGAGTGGGGAGGAGGGTGGGCTTTGTGAGGCCTGGTTGGGTGGTGGGTGAGCAGTCACCAAGGTGAGGGCAAGTAGAATAGTCAACACTGTAGGGAACCAAGGGCAGAGATGAAGAGGGACTCTTGAGTCCTTAGAGCAGTAGTTCTCAACCTTCCTAATTCCGTGACCCTTTAATACAGTTCCTCATGTTGTGTTGACCCCCAACCATGAAATTATTTTCGTTGCTACTTCATAACTGTAATTTTGCTACTGTTATGAATCGTAATGTAAATATCTGATATGCAGGATGTATTTTCATTGTTACAAATTGAACATAATTAAAGCATAGTGATTAATCACAAAACAATATGTAAGTATATATGTGTTTTCTGATGGTCTTAGGCGACCCCCGAGAAAGGGTCGTTCGACCCCCAAAGGGGTCGCGACCCACAGGTTTGAGAACTGCTGCCTTAGAGGGTCATCAGATCTTGGGGAATTGCTCTGCTTCTTTGGAGAGAAAAAATGCAGAATCCTTTGTGTGGCTCAAATGCCATTGATTCAGGAAGAACCTGGAAGGTGGGCCGACTGGTCCATGATGCTATACTGCCATGCATTTTTGCTGGAAGTCAGTGAGCACATTTCTTAAGTGGAAGGACCCAGAGGAGGGTAGCGGGGGCTCTTGTCCTCACACCCCAGGAGCCGACGCCCGACCGAGTTGGACCTTTTTCTTCCTTCCTTTCTCTGACAATTTGCCCCTGTGCTGGCCTCTCCATCCTTGCCCGCCTTGATCTGCAGAGGAACAGGGAGTGGTTTTGGCGGTTGGCACAGGGGGAGCTGTTGATGGCATGAGGCCCTATCATCTGACAGCTGCCTGACCCATGGTGGGGAGGGCCCAGAGGGAGGTGCTGGGGCAGCAGGAGGCAGCTTCTGCAGGCGGCAGCACTTCTGCGGTGAGCCCACCGCCACTGCCTCATTGCCAGGGGCAGCCTGCACAGCGAGGGGAGGCGTCCTCGTCCTCCTGAAGAGCGGGAGCATGCCTCTCAAATTAGTGGGGAAGGCTCTGCTCAAGGTAGGAGGGGTCCTGTGAGCATAGGTACACATGCTGGAGAGGGGCCCTTGTCCGAGTTTGTGATGTTTCTGGGGCGGGAGTGCAGGGGAGAAATTCATTTTTTGTGTACCTGCTATTGAGGATTAACTAGCGTAATGCACGCAAAGCACATGATACGTGCTCAATAAATGGTGGCTGTCTTATGACTGCTATTTTGACTGAGGGCCAGGAGCTGGGCTGGGTATTTTTTGATCCCCATGACAGCCCCTATGGCAGATGCTGTGACCCCATTTTGTAGATAAGCAAACAGAGGCTTGGAGGGGCTCGATGCCTCAATTCTTCTCCATTTCTTCCCGGGACCATTGCTTGGATCTGGTGTTGCCAGGACTCCCAACCTTGGTCGGGGGGACAGGGTGATGGTGTGTGAACCAAGACGTTTAGCCAATGGTCTACAAACTCTTGTAAGTCAAGTCCTAGAGCTGCCGCTCCCACACCCCAGCCTGGGTCTGACGGACCCTGGAAGGTAAGGCTGCAGTAGGAGAGAGTGAAGTTAGACATCAGGAAGAACTTTTTGACACGTGGGTGTGTATGACTTTAGTCCTGGGGAAGAAAGAGGTGGCTGTTTAATTGGGACTGGAGGTTTTATTTAGGAGAAAGTTGTGTTGTTCTGGGATGAATGTGTGTGTCAGGGGTGGGTAAGGGTGGTGTCCTGTCTGGATGTGGGAGGAGAGACCAGCGGTGTTTTGGTTGTTAGTCTAGTTTAAGGAGTGCATGAAAGGCAAAGCAGGCTCCAGAATGGCCTGCGTACTGCAAAGAAGGAGAGGAAACCCAAGTTTAAGGTCCCAGACATCTGTTGTGGGTTGGATGACCTCAGGGTGATTGAGTCAGTCCCCTGCCCAGCGGTGGGCTCCCTGCAGTCTGCCGCAGGTGAAGGGACCCGCTTTCCAGGTGACATGGCTGAAGTCCTCGGCCTGCCGCTGGGACAATACGCCTGTTTTTTTGAGCTGTTTTCCTGTCTCTGGCCTGTGGCCCAGGATTCAGGGCAGGAATGGCTGTTTTCCTCTGACTGCTGGTGTGCAGTGGAGTTCGTGGATGGTGTGCTGTGTCGCACTTTGTTTTGGAAAAATCCAGGCTGGTGGGCAGGAAGGAGAGAGGAAGGGGTGTGGCTGGAGGGGCTGGTGTCGGGGGAGGGGCGGCCATTGCTCTCAGAGGAGACCTAGGAATGGGGATGGGCTCCTGACGTAGGCTGGTCACCAATTTCTGGCTGCCTGACATGGCCCCTGATATTGCTTACACACCCTCCTCCCAACTGTGCCCCCTGGGGACTGGGGCTCAGGAAACAGCTTTTCTTTTGGTCCAGGGCTGTTGTGTTTGGTCTGTGGACCTCAAAGGAAGGCAGGACTCTTCCCACACAGTGGTTGCTCTAACCAACCCCACCCAGGTCCCAGGGTTCCTGCTCCTTGCTGTATGGCGGGGAGAAGGTTGATAACAGAGCATAGGGTCAGAGTCTTTGAGCGCTCGGGAACGGCTCAGCGGTGATCAGCAGCGAGGACCAAGTCCAGCCAAGAGTTGGCTGGACCTGTGGTAGGAAGGGTGAGGGTTAGACATCAGGAAGAACTTACCGGTAGTAAGAAAAGTAGGACCCTGTTTTGGTGACGCTGTGGAATTTCCGTTAGTGGTGTCCTTTCAACAAAGGACAGACTATTTTGGTGACAACAATAGGGGAGAGTTCTGCTTGGTGCACAGGGAATTGGATCAAAAGTCCTATTATTGATCTATGTCCTGGTAGGGGCTGGGAGGAAGTTCGAAGCCCTGTGGAGAGAGAGAGCTTTGAGAGCCTCAGTGAGGAAAAGAATGGGATGACAGGCAGACAGAGAGCTTAATTTTCTTTTCAAAATAAAATCTTTGTAGTACTCTTTGTAGAGCCATCTGATAGTTGTCCCTAAGGGCTCTAAGTGGAACAGGTCAATGATGTAGAATCACATGAAACTGTGCTGGACCCATTTTACAGATGACTCAGTGAGACCGAGGGGCTGCCGCCGCCAGGGCTCCGGTGATGAGTACCTTTCTTCATAGAATAGAAGCTCTCTGAGGTCAGGGCTCCTCCTTCCCTGGGCCCCTGGTGCCTAGAACATTGCCAGGCACACAGCCTGCAGCACTCAGTGAAAGTTTACTGAAAAAGGGAGTGAGCACGGAGCTGGGTGGCAGAGATGACCACATCTCTCCCCCGTCCCCCAGCCCTCTTGAAAAGGGCCTGCATGCTGAGGCACGCTGGAGAACGCCCGTTTCCAGCCGTGTGTGTGAGGTCACCTGTGTTTTCTTGAGCGTTAGGTTGTGTTTGCTCACAGCCCGCCCCTGCTCCCCCACCCCCCGCCCATTCGTGGTTCTCTGGTTCTCCCTGTGGCTCTGTGTCCACCGACACTCGGACGTGTCACCCGTGCACGTCTGCTTTCTGCCAGCGAGTGTCACATGCCCCCAAACTTTGCAGAAAACAGGAAGCCCCATCAGTTAGAGGGCAGCCCAGTGATTCATCAGCGGATGACCATCCAGCTGTTCGTCCCCATCCTCTGGTGGGGTCACTGTCCAGGGCAGCTTCGCCCCCGCCCCCCGTTCCCTGGCCGGCCTGCTGGAGAGAGCAGGCTTGGACTTTGCCTTATCACCTCTGGAAGCGGCATGGCCAGACTCGGTTGGGGCCAAGTTTTTATTTATCCTCCCTGGCTTTTTTTGGGGTGGGGAGGCTAAGGAATGTGGAGTGTTGTAACGTTGGGAAGGGGGGGGTGGGGTGGGGGAACGGGAGCCAGTTCTCCTGCCCTGCTCATCCTTCTCACCCTTGTGCCGTGGAAGCTCCAGGCCCCCTCAGCCCCCCAGCCACCTGCCAGGCCCGTCTCAGTATCCCCTTGTCTCCCTGTGCTCCCTGTGCCTGGACCTGTGGTCCTGGCCACACCTCAAGCCTTGGCTCCAGTTGTGGCTTCCAGTTGTTTGAAGCAGCTGTGGTGGCCTCCTCCAAACGTGGCTGTGGATCCGTAACAGATGAAACCCGAGGGGCTATTTATAGCGGGGTGGCCCTGGGCCTGGAGCAGGGCCCACGCCTGGGGAGGCTCAGCGACTCCTCGTCAGGGCCCAGCGCAGTGGAGAGAGATGAAGTGTTGGGTTTCTGCGTTCCGCTGGGTGGGTAGTTTTGGAACAGCCTGGTTTGGGCCTTGAAAACCAAACACAACCCTCCTCACTGCCCCCCCCCCCCCCCAAATGCCTGACTCATGCAAGCCCAAGTCCTCAGGGCCAGGAGAGCTGCGGAGACAGAAGCTTTCTGCCCTGACAGACAGCCCCACTTGGCGTTTCCTCCTGCTGCCCGCCAAGGCCGAGCTGCTCTCGGCTGGGTGGGAGCCCAGGCAGAGGGGACTCGGGGTGCAGCTTGCTCCCTGCCGATGGATGGGGAGTCCTCTTAGCGGGGCTGCCCAGTCCTCTCAGCTGGGAGCTGGGCCTCCAGGCCCACCCCGTCCCGCCTCGGAGGCTCTGTGGGGCCTGGAGAGCGCTGAACGGGGTCAAGCCTGAAGTTTGAGGGCGAATCCTGCCAGTCGCCAGGACTTGGGGGTAAGTCACTGTTGCCTCAGTTTCCCCACTCATTGGCAGATTGTGGTCCTGTCTCCTCCAAGAAGTGGTTGCAACTTGGTGGTTGGGAAAGGCTGGCTCCTGGGAGGCCCATGAATGCTTGGACAGTGCCAATACGCTCAGAGGGCTTGGCTGGGCCTGGGATTCTGGGTGCTGGGTATCCGATTCTGCATCGTGTGAGGTGGCTGAAAGGATGGGCGGTTGGTGGTAGAAGTGAATCAGGGGTTTGATTTGGAGGTGAAGGTTTGATTGTATCCCTCATTGCCCTTATAATTGTACTTGATGTAATAACAGTGACCACAGATATGTCACTGTTATATGTGTAATTCCTTTTCATTTTCGGACAACCTATACTCCCACTTTACATGTGACATTCCAGAGGCTCAGAGCGTTAAGTAGGAAGGCTGCCCAGCGGGGTGCTGAGGGACAGCCTGGGCTTCCTCACTGTGTCGTTGGTGCCCTGGCATGTTTTGGACACCAACTTGGGTCCCTTCGCCTGGTTTTGTATAAGTTGACAGCCCTGGAAATGGGAGGGGGTGAAGGGGTAGCATACGATGGGCGGTGGGTCCTCGGGGGCACGATTTGCTGCCTGAGCTGCTCTCCGTAGGTGCACGTTGTGCTGGCCGCTCTGTTTCTAAACCTCTGATGGAATGACTCGTGTTGTGTTGCTGCTTTAAAGAAGAGGAGTGTGGCATGGCGATGGTCGGAGGAGGAAGGTTTAGAGCTGGAGAGAGGGTGCCATCGCCCACCTTTCCTTCTCTCGTGCTTGCAGTCTGTATCCTCCCCTCGGGGTTCCTATTACGATGGCCAGTGAATCGAGATGAGATGAGTTTCCAAAGTCAGTAACTGTTTTATTGAGTGTGTGCTCAGTACAGATGGCACCAGCCCAGGCGTGGCACGTTTCTCAACATTGGGATTCCTTCCTCGCCGGGGGCTCACAGGCTCGCAAGCACACTCACGTGGAATTGGCATAGCCTGCTCTTGGCTCTGGGTTGCTTTGTTGCTGTGGTGTCAGGGTGCCTGGGCTGGAATGTTGGCAGAGAAAGGAGAAGTGGATCTGCGTTTGCCCGTGACCCTGCCTGCGCCGGTGGACAGCTCTCAGCCTGCCTCCTCCACAATGCTGCTTCTCTTTTCTCTTTTCCAGGGCTCCATCAGAGTCACCCCGAGTGTCCAGCCCCCTCCCCAGCCCGTCAGGTATGCCTGGCCTGTGGGGGGCACAGGGTGGGGGTCCTGGCAGTGAGGTCACTGTGGGAGTTCCTGGCAAGTCATGCCTTTGGGTCTCCGAGACCGAAGTCATAAAGCCAGTGGTAGGAAGCCTGGGCAGCCGTGGCACCCTCCCTGGAGGGTGTGGGTGGATGCCGCTTGGAAAGGGTCATGCTCTGGGTTCTAGCTGGAAGCCAGCCTTGAGCCGAATTCTTTACGTACCTGTATGATTCATCTAGTCCTTGCAACAGCCCTGCAAGGTAAGTGTTTTATTCCCATTTGGCAGATGAAGAAACAGTTTCAGAGGTGGCTTGTTAGAGGTCGCACAGGGGCCTTGGTGGCTCGCGGACACAGCCTCTTTTCCCTGCGCCCAGCTTCTCTCTGTCTCACCTTCAGCCCTGAGGCTCCAGAGATGAGTGAGAATCTGGCCCCAGGAAGATGGGGTCCCAGGGAGAGGGGACCTGGTGTGTGACTGAAACCCTTAGCAGGTTGTGGTCCAGCCACCCGCTGCCCTTTGTCCCGATCTGCTCTTTAGAAGATCCCCTTCTCTCCCCACAGCTGAGAAGCACCTTGGGTGGGCGGGTGTGGAGTGCGGTGCTGAGGAGGTCAGGCGGTGGCGCTGTTTTTGCCTGGCGCAGGCAGTGACCTGAGGTAGGAGCCCGCCTCAAAGAAGCTCATCTTGAGGATGAGGGATGGCCGGGGCTCGGAGCTCAAATCACACTGGACCTTACTGCAGCCACTGGCCCTTCCAACACTTGGTCCCTGTCATTGCCACCATGGAGAAGCCTCACATCACCCCGGCTCCCCCATCTCCAGACCCCATCTACAGAGTTGGGCTCAGAGTTAACCTGGTGGAGACGGGATTCTGCCCTACTTCTTGGGGATCCTCCCCAGTGCTACCCCATCACTTTGAAATACCCTGGTGGTATTCCTCCTGCTGCCCTCCAGTCTCAACTTTACCCCGCTGTAGTGACAGGTTATCAAAATGAAATGTGAGTGTTGTCCACCTCGGACAGAGAGTGGAAGCCAGACACTAGGAGACTGCTGATGGGTAAGAAGGTGTCGGGGTGGGGAGCGTGTGTGGTGCCCCCAGAAGCTACAGGGCTTCAGAAGGTAATTCCAGCATCTCAAGATCCATCCCCCACTTCCCATCAGCACCCCAGTGGGCCCTTGGACCCTCCCTCTGGAAGAGAAGCTGGGTGAGGTGTCAAAATGTGAGCCTCTACCTCCCCTCATCCAGTGCCCAGTTCAGGTGGCTCTCTACTTTCCACGGAGCTCAGATGGTGCTGGGATGTCGGGGGCTCTGCACCCTCTGCTTCCTGGGCCCTTAGCAATCAGGGAGGCCACTGCCACACAGCGCCTGAGTGTGGGAGCTGCCAGAGGTGGGGATCGAGCCAGGGAACAAAGGGCAGGAGGTGGCCTGCCTCCGGGGAGGGCTGGAATGTGTGCTGTGGTCTGGCTCACCTGGAGCCCAGGTGAGCGTGTCACCTGAGCTGCCCCTTCCCCCGAGAGGCCTCCCGCCCACTCCACAGCTCCGAAGCCAAGGAGGGCAGCAGAAGACTCAGCCAGGGAGCTGGGGAGCACTCACTCAGCCTCTCTTTCCCCTTCCACAGCTGTCCCAGGAACTTTGGAGACACTCCGCCAGACCAGGCTGCAGTGTGTCAGGGGGCAGAGCTGGGCTCCTGGGTTCCTGGCCAGCTCTGGCCCTGGCTCTGACCGCTAGGATCTGGGTGAAGGCAGTGCTGAAAGAATTGATGGGCACCTGGGATTGGTGTCATCACCATTTGGTTCTGACACAGCCTGAGATCCTTGCCAGCCCCTGCCCAGCTCTTTCTCTCCGGCACCCCAAGCTGGCCTTGCTGGCTGCACTGGCCTTGCCAGGGGAAGCCTCTGACCTTGGCTCTGGGTCTGGGAGCAGCCAAACCCCCTGGGTTGGATGTGGGGGCCATGCACAGTGTGTTGGGGGTGCAGACATCTGGTCTTTGCCCTGGGGAACTAGATTCTGATCTACAACCCTCTCTCTGCTAGTCTTCCCAGAAACATGAGTGTGAGCCAGACCATGGAGGACAGCTGTGAGCTGGACCTGGTGTACGTCACAGAGAGGATCATCGCCGTCTCCTTCCCCAGCACAGCCAACGAGGAGAATTTCCGGAGCAACCTCCGTGAGGTGGCCCAGATGCTCAAGTCCAAGCATGGGGGCAACTACCTGGTGAGGATGGGCCTCTTGCCCCTTTGCCAGCGCCCCTCTGCCCTTTCTGCTTGCCCCTCACTGCTGTGTGTGCGTGCATGTGTATGTGTAGAGTGCATGCATGCACGTGCATGTGTGTGTGTTGACCAGGAGGAGAGAATAACAATAAGAGCTCATGTTATGGAGCGCGTACTATAAGCCAGGCCTTGTTCCAACTGCTTTCCGCATATTTAACCTTCAGGACAGCCTAGAAAGCAGGTTTTGTTAGAGCTCAGAGAGATGGGGTATTTGCTTAAGTTCACAGTATCAGGAAGTGGTGGAGCTGGCACCTTGCTGGCACCTCGCTGGCACCTCTGAGAAGTCTTAAGGCAGAGTTGTGGCAGAGGCGTCGTAAGGGACCTTGTGTTGCTGACATGGGGACTGTACCTGGCCCAGAAGAGTCACCTAACAAATGTAGGCCACTTTACTGGGAGGTACACACGACTGGACCAATAGACCAGACTGTGCAACCTTCAGGGGCTGCCCTTGGCTGTGTGAGCAGAGGTGGCTATAGGAGGCTGTATTAGGTCCCTGGGGCTGCTGTAACAAATTACCACAAACTCGGTGGCTTAAAACAACAGAATTTAACTTTTCACAGATCTGGGGGCTACAAGTCCAAATTGAGGTATTGGCAGGGCCATGTTCCTCTGAATTGTGTAGGGGAGCACCCTGTCTTGCCTCTTCCTGGCTGCTGGTTGCTCCGGCATCCGTGGTGGCCCCCGGCTTGTAGCCTCATCACTTCAATCTCTGCCTCCGTCGTCACAGGACCTTCCTTCTTTCCTGTGACTCTGTGTGTCCTTTCCTCCTCTTATAAGGACACCAGCCATTGGATTAGGGTCCACCCTAAATTCGGGATGATCTCATCTCCAGATCCTTAACTACTTACATCAGCAAAGGCCCTATTTCCAAATAAGGTCACATTCTGAAGTTCAGGGGGATGTGAATTTTTGTGGGACACCATTCAACCCACTACAGACACCCATCCATCAGCTGTGTCAGACATTGTTAAGAGCTTGGTTTGAAACATCAGGAAGTCCTGGGTTCGAATGCAGGCTCTGCTCTTATTAAGTAGCTGATCTCGGCCACTTAGCCTCTCACTAAGCCTTAAGTTCCCCATCTATAAAGTGAGTCTAATAATACTACCCATGTCTTATGGTGGTTGAAAGAATGAAGCCAACTGGTAGATATAAAGTTCTTAGCATGGGTATGGCAGGCTGTGGATACTCAAGTGGTAGCTGTTGTTCACATAATAAACGTGTTCCATTATGGGGCTCAAGAGTGGACTAGAAGCCATCTACGGTCCTTCTTCACTTTGGGAGTCCAGGATTTCATGGGACTCTGTGCTATGCCACCCTCCCCCCATCCTGCCTATACCAGACTGTAGGGTCGTCTTTTCTCCCCAGGAGGCAACACAGTGGTCTTTGAGTTTCCTAGGCAGTGAGGTAGAGGTGGAGACAGGAATTCCAGAGATTGGAGGATTCTCATGGGCTGTGGTTAGGTGCTGGAGAATGTCTTCTGGGAGAGGATGTCAAGGGTCTGAGAAGGCTCACCCAGGACAGTTTGTATCCTCTGATGGGGGGTGTCTGACCGCAGAGCCATTGCATCTTCATGGGGTGAGTTTCTAAAGTCCACCTGTGTAATGGAAACTAGAGAAGGCCAATGCTGAACATGGGACCCGAGACCGGTTCCATCCCCTTCTCATCTTTAGTTCTGGACGTCCGCTCACAGAGGGGAGTGGCTGAGAGTCTGTACTTCTCTTCCCCGCCGCCCCCCCCCCCCCCCCCAATTCCTGAGAACCTATAGTTGGGTTCCTGTTGATCCCAGCTCATGTGTGGGTGGGATCTCCAGCAGGGGCGAGAGCAGCATGTGAACCCCTCCACCATTTCTTCCTTTTCTTCCTTCTAGCTTTTCAACCTCTCTGAGCGGAGACCTGACATCACGAAGCTCCACGCCAAGGTGAGCCCATGCTGAGTAGGGTGGGAGCGTCTACCCGCCTGGGAGGGGAGATAACAGACAGTCCCCCTCGCCCCTCAGAGGCGTCAGAGTCTTAGGGAAAGTGCTGTGACAGATTGCAAAGCCTATTACAGTGCCATCTTCTCCTTGGATAATGGGAAAGAATCTATTCATTGTTTCCTTAATACGAACTACAGAAAGCAAAGCTCGATGCAGTGATTTCTACCCAGCTCTGCCTCCCTGGGGAGCCCTTAGGATCTCTGGGTGAGGCTGGAGCTGTGAGATTGTTAGCTTCTTTGAAAGGTATCTTGGCTTTAGACTGGCTAGGAATGGCCGACGTGGACCTTCCCACTGCCAGCTCTCACTTGCTTACCCTGTGGGCCGTGGGCCGGGCTCTGCGTGGTGCCTGCTCCCGGCTCCTGGATTCTGGTGCCTGTTGCTGTGTGACCCTGGGAAGGTGACACACTTCTCTGGGCTTCAGTTTGCACCTCTGAGAGTAGACGGGCTGGGTTAGGTATATTCTCTGGGCCCTTCCAAGCAGAAGTTCTCTTTTACTGTAAAGTTCTGTGAGTTTAGAAAAGTTTTGAGGAGCTGGAGACTGGGGTTCAGATCTGCCCTCTGTCTCCTTCAGCTTCTCTGGGCTGGCCTGAAAAATCAATGGTGTGTGTGGCCAGGGCCTGGAAAAGAGCCACGAACAGCCAGGAACCCTTTGCTCTGCCCTCGCCCTGAGCCAGGCCTTGGGGTTGTCTGTGGGAGCTAAGCTTGGGGGCAGTGCTGGGGGCACCATCACATTTTGAGGTCAGAGTCATGTGGAAGGGACCTTGCCTTTGTTTTACTCACACATGAGAAGTTGAGGCTAGGAGAAGGGCCGTGACTGGCTGGGGCCCCACAGCAAGCCAGTGTCAGAGCTGAGATTCAGGCACAGGGTCCCTGGTCCTGGCCATTGTCCTATCCCTCCACACCCCCACCTCCCAGCTGGGCTGATGGGCAGGGCAGGAACCAAGGCCCAGCTGCTGGTGGCCACTGCCTGGTACTAGCATGTGGAGTGTGTGCTGCCCCCACTGCCCTGGCTGACCGTCTGGGCTTCTGCCACATATCACTCCTGGCTTGGGCCGCAGGTACTGGAATTTGGCTGGCCTGACCTCCACACCCCAGCCCTGGAGAAGATCTGCAGTGTCTGCAAGGCTATGGACACTTGGCTCAACGCAGACCCCCACAATGTCGTCGTTCTACACAACAAGGTCAGAGTCGGCTGCAGGGTGTGTGAGTGTGTGTGTGTTTGTGTGTGCGTGTGCATGCCCATGTGTGAATGTATCCTTGGATGAGGGTATCTCCTGGCCTGTATCATTGGATTGTGTGAGTGTGGAAGTCTGTGTATTCTCCTTTCTAGGGATGGTAGATCCTGCCCCGGGGCCCCCACAGGAAGTGTGGGGCCCTCAAGTGTAGTGGGTGATTATCTGTGTTTCTTCTCTTTGAGACTCAGTTGCCCACCCTCGTCCCTCCCACATATCCTCTTCCTCCTCCTGGTCTCCCTTAGAGCCACACCCTTCTCTCCAGCCCCTGCCCCCTTCCCTCCAAGGCTCTGGATGGGCACTGGAGCAGTAGGCCGGCCTTAGAAATAAAGGCTTTTGTGTTTGGGGGCTCTTTCAGGGAAACCGAGGCAGGATAGGAGTGGTCATCGCTGCTTACATGCACTACAGCAACATTTCGGCCAGGTAAGAGGGCCCCCGAGCCTCCTGTTCTCTGCATATTGACCCACCACGATTTCTCCCTTCCTTGGGGCGGGAGGATAAAGACAGAGGGCGTCAGAGGTTCTTAGGATGAGGAAGGAAGGTGCCTGTCACACCCCAGGAGCCTGTGTGTGGAGGGCAGGAGAGAGGAGAGTCCATTCTCCCATTGTCTAGCCTTGGGAAATGGGCCCATCTGTGATTACCCCATCCAGCCAGATTCTTGGGGCCACTTTTTCTTGCCAAACTGCCTTCTGTTTTCCTGGGTGAGCAGGGAGGGTGTCCGAAGGAAATACTGGATCAGATCTGGGTCCAGCAGAACCGTCTGGGAGTTATCTCATCCATCCCCCTGTCCCTGGCCAGCAGGGCCTGTTCCCACTTAGGGGTTTGGGGCAAGACTAGTAAACCAGCAGTGCTTGTTTTGATTCCATTTTGCAGAGAGGCAGAGGGATCCATCCACTCATTGGTTTATTCTCTCGACAGTAGTTACTGAACAGCCACACACTGTTCTAGGTGCTGGGATACAGCAGTGGGCAGAGCCAGGCCACTGTCCCACGGACTCTAAGTATATAAGCAAGTGTATCCATAATAGCAGGTGATAAGATCTGTGAAAGAATGGAGACCAGAGCATGACAGGGGTCAGAGGAGGCCTCTGGAGAAGGCGATAGTTGAGTAGAGACCCGAATTAGGTGGAGGAGAGCGGGACCGGCTGAGTCACATAAAGTCTGGGAGGGAACTTCCCAGGCAGAAAGAGGAGGAAGGGACAAGGCCTGTGGCGGGAATGCCATGCAAGGGGCTGGCATGTTTTGAGCTGAGTGAGTGAGGGCATGAGGAGCAGGAAGTGAAGCTGGACGGGGGCAAGCCTTGTAGGACTCGATAAGAACTTTGGGTTTTTTCTAAGAGTGATGGGAAGTCGTTGGGAGAGTCAAGAAGGGGCAAGCTAGGTGATCGGTCACTACATTTTAAAATGATCTCTCTGAGTGCTCTGAGGATGGGTAGAGGGTTCTGTGGAGGGCTTGCCTGTAGGATGGCAATTTTACAGCTTTAAGAAATCCGTCTTAGCCTATTCTTTGCTTACTGGTGCGTACTCGCTGTGCACTTACTATGTGCCTACAGGGGCCAAGCTCTTTAGAGATTTTAGCCCATTTGATCGCCATAACAAACTTTGAGGAAGGCAACTATCCCTCTCATTTGACATGAAATAAAAAAGAATCAGTTTCAGGAAGATTAAATAACCTGTCCTAAGGATAGTGCTGAAGTGGTGGGCTAGTGATGGGCTCCCAGCTGTCTAGCTCCAAAGCCCCTGCACAGCACACAGGATCGTGAGCTGCCAGGGTGCTCTTTTCCTGAAAGCACCTCAGCACAGGGTGGCTGCAGGACTCTGCAGGTCTGGGGAGCGGGGAGGGGGCCGGAGGGGCTCTTGCACTTGGATGTTGGCTCCTCTCACCACCTGTCTTTTCTCCCAGCGCCGACCAGGCACTGGACCGGTTTGCAATGAAGCGGTTCTATGAGGATAAGATTGTACCCATTGGCCAGCCGTCCCAGAGAAGGTGGGTCACAGCCCAGTGCACATGTGTGTGCTCACTATGTGTGGGGACTAGCCTCATCGACCCACGGGGGATGGAACAGCATGCCTCTGTGAGGGTGTACTAAATATGCATGTTCAGGGGCCAGTCTGGAGGGGTCTGAGATCAGGGACATGGGTGAGCCCATGAGCAGCTGTGTATGTGCCCATAGGTGGGCAGGGCAGTTGGCTCCTGAGGCTGGTACTGGAGAGCAGCGGGGGGCATCGGTGGGGGACACATTGGTTTGGGTATAAGAAGGCGGATTGTATGAGGAGGCAGTGCCATTCTTGGTCCTAGAAGCAGGATCGCTTCAGTGTTTGGATGAATCTACAGGAAGCTGAGGTCCCTGCCACCTGCCCAGGGAGGTCACATACACTCTTGATAACAGTCACTTTTTACTGGGTGTGCTTTAAAAACTTTATCGAGGGCACTCAACTACGTGGTCTCATTGGAGTGCACAACAGCCCAGGCAGGAAGCAGGGCAAGGACTGAGTCAGTCATTCATTTGGCAAATTTCAGGCAGTCTGCTATGCTCCAAACACTAGAGATATCTAGTTGAATGGGACAAAATCCATTGCCCCTAGTGAGGTGATACTCTACTGAGAAGGATGGACATTATACAGAAAATACACAGACAAGACAATTTCAGATCGTGATTAGTCCTAGGAAAGAAAGAGGATAGAGTGCTGCAGAAATGAGAGCTGAAGGGAGGGGAATGGGGCTATTTTAATGACCATGGTCAGGGAATACCTCTCAGAGCAGGGGAATTTGAGCCCAAAGCTGAATAATGCCGACCTACCACATGACGATCCAGGGCATCCCCATTTTACAGGAGGGAAGCCTGAGCCCAGAGGGAAGGGATGTGACGTGGCCAGGGTCCACAGAGAGCAGTGGCAGAGCCAGAATGTCCTTGGGACCTCCCCCTGGCTGTGCCATCCACCATTCTGAGGGCTCCCCCTGGATTCAGCTCTGTGGGTTGCATGCTGTTTAGTGATGTCTGATTCACAGGAAGGCACAGGTAGTGTCAGGATCAAGTGGATCTTGGGGGGCTGCATGTGAGTGGGAGCCAGAATGGTGGAGTCCCAGGCCCAGAGTGGAGAACTGGAGAGTTGGACTCCGGCCTTCCCCCTGTGTGGCCAGAGCTGTGGGCCCATCACACCTGTCTGTGATGTGTCACATTGGGCTACACGCTAAGGCTATAGTGCTGAATCTCTCAGGCAAGGTCTCTTGGGGCTTACCTTCTGGTGGATGACACCCATGGAAATTAGCCATCACCGTCATTTCAGAGAGTGAGAAGTGCTTTGAAGGGGGTAAACCAAAACAGACCATGATGGGCGAGAGAGTGATGGGAGTGGGCACAAGGGGCTGACTCAGAGGGACCGACCTTTCTGAGAAGGTGACGTGTGAGGTGAGGTTTGAGAAGGGAGAAGGAAGCATCTAAGTGAAGGGCTGGGGTACAGGGTCTAGGCTGGGAGGTCACAGTGTCCCATTGCTTTCCTAGCCCTTAGGAACACTTGGCCAGCAGGACCCCCTTGCTGCATGTCCTGGGGCTTCCCAGACTCTCCGGGTTGGGTGTCCCCGACTCACATCACTCGTATCTTGCTTGCCTTTCTAGCAGTGTGCTGGCACTGCTGGGGACGGTTTCCGCCATTGGAGCGGGAAGCCCTAGCAGAAATGAGTGAGTCCTCAGGCAACGCAGCGTCTTACAATTCGCACAAGACAGCCGGTAGGCAGCCTCAGGTCAGCTGGATCAGAAACCGGACACCTGTATGTGCAGAAAATTCTGGCTAGGCTGCCAGACACAGCAGCTGTGGGTCCATGAGAGTGTTCCCAGGGAAGAAGTCTCAGGGAGGGAAGAGCTGTCATTCAAGTACGCTCTCCTCAGTCCCTGGCTTGACACTTATGGCTGTCAGCCTTGGTTATGAGACTGGCCTTGCCCTTGAAGGATAAGGGGTACAAATAGAGGAGCATGATGTTACCGTGGCACAACGTGGCTTGGAGAGAGCAGGCCGAGTAGTCACATCTCTGAAGCTGAAAACTGGAGAATGGGGATCAGTGTTACCTCTCAGGAATAGGATTATGCAGGGATTCCACAGTGCTTGGTGTGTGTGTGTGTGTGAGTATACATTATCTGTGTCTGCCTTGCAGCTCATATCTGCACCCACATCTGCTTATGGGTGTGTAATTCTGTTTGTTCCCAAATGTGAAAGTGCAACCGTTGGGTTTACCATGCAATCATTGCCACTTTCCCGCCTTCTTGTCAGTGTCACTGGTAAGGAATGAGGCCCTTGAGGAGAAGAGGGCAGGCAGAGAAAGAGGGAGGAGCTTGGCCTGCAGCTCCCTCATTCATTGTCACCCCACCCCCGGACTCATTGTCCCCAGCACACAGACACATCCTGTTGGCACGATCAGAAGTTCTGATAGGAACCCGCCATTCCAGGTTTCCGCTTTGAGTAATGGGGCTGGGGGCTGGGCAGGGGCCTGAATAGGAGCTGGTGCTGCCCATCAGATTATCTTCCTAGGGTTGTCCTAAGTGGCCCCACCCTGGCCCAGGGACAGAGGCCCACGGGCCTGGAGATGGGCCAGGGAGTCAAGATATAGGAGGGGACTATTATCATGGTCATGCGGGTTCTGGTCTCACCCACTTCAAAAGCCCATGTTGGCTCCCTCGGAGTCTCAGATGCATTCTGATTGGTTCAGCTTGGCATCCACTGGCCAGTCAGAGAAGGAGGAAGTGCTGGCCAGTGGTGGAAGGATTAGCCTCTGTTCTGGCAGATGCATTGGAGTCAGACTTTTTTCCTTCTCTCCCCATTCACTCTCAGCTTTGTGTGTTCTTGCTGTGTGTCTCTGGGAGGCTAATGAGCCTTTATGAACCTAATTTTTTCTTTCTGTTTAGAAGGAGTGGGATAGGTTAATCCTTCCATTCTTCTAACAAGATCTTTGTTAAAAAAATTAGGAGATGTTGACCCTAGAGATAGAAATACTTAGTGGAAGTTAGATATCTTCCAACACCAAATGAAATGCTCTAGATGGATTTTCATACACTTAGCATGATCTTAAAAAGTGGAATACTATAATTATTATGCTCTTACTGTTTGCTGGAGTGTCATCTGGCTGGTGGGACTATGTGGAGCTGACCCAGGGTCTGTGCGTATAAATGTCAGCTTGGTTTGGGCTCAGTATAGGGGTGTCAGAGTTATTTGATAGTGGATCAGCCTGCCTTGTGTAGTAGTGAGCAGTTGAAGGATGCCTGTCAGGGATGTGTGGGAGGAATTTTGGTCCAGCAGGAGATTCCTGGGCTGGGAGTGAAGCAGGAAAGAGATGCTCACGTTGACCACCAGAGGGCACTGGAGAACCCCAAGTAGGGGGTTTGGCTTGACCCAGCTCCAGGTCTTATAGAACCTGCTTTTTCTCCCTACCTGGAGCTCCAGACAACAAGGGAGGACTGTGCTGGGCTGAGACCTCAGCTACCTGGAGGCCTGGGGGCATTGGTGGGGGCTAGGCAGGCAACCTAGGGCAGTGTTATGGTGGAAAAGAATATGGGATGTCTCGGCCCCGGTTCAGACCTCCTTGGCTGAAGCTGCCCCTGTCCCTGCTCCAGGTACGTGCATTACTTCAGCGGCCTGCTCTCTGGCACCATCAAAATGAACAACAAGCCCTTGTTTCTGCACCATGTGATCATGCATGGCATCCCCAACTTCGAGTCTAAAGGAGGTACTGACCCCAGCCTCTGGCTTCCCAGCCCCTCCTGTCTTCCTTCACCTTCTCTGAAGAGGCAGCCATGGTAAAAATATAGGCTTGGATTGGAGTCTCAATGGCACCACTTCCCGAGCTTTCTTTAGCCCCAGTCTGTCATTTGCAGAATGGGTTTGATACTTGCAACACCTGCTGGCAGATAGTGGATGGGAAATGTTTTTGTCAACTTAAAGTGCCTTTCACATGAAAAGCTAGTATTCCTTCCTCCGTCTCTTTCCATTTCTCCTTCATCTTTTCTCCTTCCCCTTTCTCTCCCCCTCCTTTCTTTCTCCCCCACCTCCTTCACTCCTCTCCCTCTTCCCACAATTCCTACTGTTGTAGCTAACACCACCCTTCCTTGCAGGGTGTCGGCCATTTCTCCGGATCTACCAGGCCATGCAACCTGTTTACACATCTGGCATCTAGTAAGTATTCCACGGGAATGAGAGTCCCGGATGCCAAAGCTCCGAGGCTGAGGACCAGGAGCAGGGGCGTGTGTGTGTGTGTGTGTGTGTGTGTGTGTGTGTGTGTGTGTGGTGGTGGTGGTGGTGGCTGCTGCCCTGAATCTCTTCCAGGAGAGGGCAAAGGGATGAAGTCGGCAAGGTTTCCTAGTAGCCTGGTGGCAGAGGGGCAGCAGGGAAAAAAGCACTGCCTGCCCCCCTCCAGCTGTCCCTCTCCTCTGCCTGCCTCTTCCTCACAGCAACGTCCAAGGAGACAGCCAGACCAGCATCTGCATCACCATCGAGCCTGGGCTGCTCTTGAAGGGAGACATCTTGGTGAGTGCTGCCCCTCTGGCTCTAGCCCCTCCTCCTAGTTTATTTTTCTCCCATCTCCTCTCTTCCTGCGCTCCTCCTGCCTCTCCAGACAAGACTTCACTCCTGGTGGGCCACCAGCCTTAGTGTTGTAGGCTCTCAGGGTTCCTGCAAGGCCTTGCAGCCTCTGACAATGCTTGTGCATTCTCCGGCCTCGGAGTTGGATGCCCGCTGGGCTTACCTCTAATTCTGGAACAGCTCCAGGGAAATGTCTCCCAGTGGGAGCTCTTACCTCCTGGCTTCTTACTGGTGACAAGGACTCCCTCAATTCTAGCTTCAGCCCTTCCCCATCAATTTAAATCCACTCCTATTTTTTCCATTCTGATCTGTGTGCAGGAAATTCTTGAGAGGCAGTTTTATCCCCATGGGATAAGACTGGCCTCCAACTCTCTGCTCTTCTAGAAGTTTCCCCAGAGGCTCTGAGATCCTGTTTGTGTTGGTGACCTCTCCCTCACTGGGTTTGGGGTGAGCCTGGGGGGCCCAGCCTTGGAGCTGATAAAGAAGCTCCCTGGGACCCGGTTTCCCACCCGTGGGCACCTGATGGGCTCTGCTCTCTTTCTCGCCCAGCTGAAGTGCTACCACAAGAAGTTCCGGAGCCCAGCCCGCGATGTCATCTTCCGTGTGCAGTTCCACACCTGCGCCATCCATGACCTGGGGGTTGTGTTTGGGAAGGAGGACCTTGATGAAGCCTTCAAAGGTGGGCTCATTGAGTGGAGAAGTAGACCTAGCAAGGGATAATTCTATCACAGGGTAGAAGAGCAATTATGGGGGGGGGGGCATGGCAGCAGTGAGGGGGAACTGTTTCTGAGGGAAGGGAGGTGGTCAGGGGGATGTCTCCCTTTGTTTCTTTTCTCCATTCTTTTGAGGTTTGGTCTACATCACATTCAGGACTGGAACATATCCACATCTATCTATCCATTCATCCATCTATTCACTTGTCCGTGCATCTACCCACCTACCCATCTAAAGTTATCCATCTATGCACTCATTAATCCAAATCCATCTATCCATCCATTTACTTATCTGCTGATCCATCCATCTGTCAATCCATCCGCTTACCTCCCATATACCTACCCGTCCATCTACCCACCCATCTAAATCTATCCATCTACTCATCCACCTACCCACTTGTTCATGTTTTTATGCATTTATCTATCCATCAATCTATCCATCCACCCACCTATTCAAATCCATCCACCCATTCATCTGTCCGTCCATCTATCCATCCATCCATCCATCCATCCATCCACCAAGCATCACTTGTGTGTCTATATGTGCCAGGCGTGTGCTAGATCTTAGGGATGCAATGAGAAAGAGGTGAGTCCATAACCCCAGTCTTATGGAAGGATGAGACACACAAACATGACACTACAAAGTGATGCCTGCAGTGATAGAGACATGCACAGGCATGATGGGTGCCCCAGGGAGTGGACACCATCCTTGATAACTTCACAGTGTATGATGGTCTGTGTCCAGATTGGGCTCAGGGAGGGAGTGGAGAGCGGGGCTGGGACTTGGAGGAGGAGGGGAATGATCCCTTGTATAGTCTGGCTGGTGTAGGAGAAGGATGTGCCCTGTGATGTGTTTCCCTGCACTGGAGGCAGGAAGGTAAAAGCAGAAGATGCTGTTATAATTATAGAACAGAATGAATGTTATCAATCTTAACTAGGAACAATAAAGGAATAGTTGACACAATAAAGATGGGGTTGGTGAAAGATGGAAGAAAGGGAGGGGCACAAATTCCTTCTCCTACATAGAGGGAGTCAAGACACCATAAAAAATGGACAGATCAAGCCCAGCTGGTGTGGCTCAGTGGTTGAGCATTGGCCTATGAACCAGGAGGTGATGGTTCAATTCCCAGTCAGGACACATGCCCAGGTTGCGGGCTCGATCCCCAGTGGGAGGCATACAGGAGGCAGCCGAGTAATGATTCTCTCTCATCATTGATGTTTCTATCCCTCTCTCCTCCCTTCTGCTCTCTGAAATCAATAAAAATATATTAAAAAGGGACAGATCAAGAAATAGAGGCTTAACTATAGTATTTAAAGTTTCAAATGTAATCAGTAGAATAAATGATGATGATGATGATAATAATACCAGACTTTAGAAGAAGGGAGGTAGGAGTAGTAAAGTGAGCCAAATTATTCATTTTCATAGTGGTGAATCAATGGGGATTATTTAAAACTGATGTACCTAAAAATAGTGACATAAAAACTGGCTAATATTTAGAGTCTTAGAGGTAACCACTAGTAGAACAAGAAATATAAATGGTTAGAAATGTTACCTCAGGTAAGTAGGACTGGGTCAAGGGAGGGCAAGAGACTTAATTTTATATATATTTATATTTCATATACATATATAGCTTAATATATTATCAATGTGTATGTGTATTTTAATCTTTTCTAGAAGAAAACCTTTTATGGAGTCCTTTTTAGAAATTGGGTGCCCATTTTGTTTTTCTCCTTTTTCAGATGATCGATTTCCAGAATACGGCAAGGTGGAATTTGTATTTTCTTATGGGCCAGAGAAAATTCAAGGTATAATTCAAATTAGAATTCATTCATCATTCACTTCTTCCCCTCTATCCTGGCCTGTTCCCACCCCTCCTTCACCATCCTCCCACTGATCTTCTCTATAATTGTCAAGTTACCTAGGTGATTGAAAAGCAGGCCAACAGTAAAAGATCTGGGTATCATAGTGGACCCCCAGCTAAACATGAACCAGTGACTTAATCTCTGGGTAATAAAAATAAAAAAGCAGACAGAGAGGCGCTGGGTTGGATAAACTGTTCTAGTCCATTAGGTCATCATGCTATTATATTTAGAGACTGTGGGCCATGGAGGATGGAGGGTGTGGCTGAGGGGACACTCCAAGGTGCTGGCTAAACGATAGGCATTTCTGAGAACTGAGGTGATTCAACCTGAAGAGGAGAAGACCAATTTAATAATAGCCTTTCAGTCTTTAGACTGGTTATATGTGGAGACCAGTTGTTCTCCATCTTATCTGAGGACAGGATGGGAGGATATGAAGTTAGGTTATAGACAGGGGGACTCTGGATAGATTAAAGAAAGGCCTGCTAGCTCAGGGAGGCGACTCACCCAGAACGTCTGCCTGGCAGCTTGTGCTGTCTTCATTCTGGGCTTTCTCTGGATGTGTAGGAGGGATTCTGTCTCTCCCCTCAGATCTCTACCTAGAGTGGGGAGCTTCTTAAGTTGGGGGCAGGAAGATGGCCTGGGTGACCTTGTGTCTTCTCAAGGTCAAGGCTGTGAGCCCTGCTTCTCCCACATTCCCGCTGACCTCAGGGGCAGACTCTGGTCTCTCTGCACTGCTCCTAGGACACAGAAAAGAAAGAAGCAAAACTCAGCAGAGGGTCCCCCAGCTTTCTCTTGGGGGAGGGGGTCTTCATTCCTTAGTGCTCTGTCCTGATTTACCCCCATGACCTGGTATGAGCCTTTTCAAGAATGCAAGAAACCAGACCCCTGGGTTCTCCGTCCAACTGAAGCCACTGGTCCCGCCCCGCCCCGCCGGGGTCAAGAAAATGAGAAGTCCCGTAGGGAGCATCCTTGGGGGATCTTGCTGGCTTCCTCTGTTTTTCCAGCTGCGGATCTCTTTTCCTTTTCTCCTCACTGTCTTCTTGCCCTTCCCCATCCTTGTAGGCATGGAACACCTGGAGAACGGGCCGAGCGTGTCAGTGGACTACAACACCTCTGACCCCCTCATCCGCTGGGATTCCTACGACAACTTTAATGGGCATCGCGATGACGGCATGGAGGGTAGGTGGGACCAGTGGACCCCTGTCCCTCTCCAAACTGCACCCCCCCGCACACAGGGCCTGGGCTCTCTTGTTTGATGGGACACCATACTGGGCTCAGAGGGGAGGCAGAGGAGAGGTCTGAGGCACCTTGGAGAGCTCACAGTTCAGTGGGAGAAGATAAGGCAAACATGAGTGTGCTAAATAATGAAGACAGAAATAAAAAATGAAGCTAAACAGCCACCTTGAGGGTGTGCCATTGGTGCCAAATGAGTCCCTGGATGGCGAGTACTCTGAGATTGGGAGGGGAGGTATTTTGATTAGCTAGAGTGACCTGGGAAGGCTCCTCAGAGGAGGTGGCCTTGAGTGGACCTCGAGGTACCCCCTGTGAAGCCGACACAGCATTTGTTAGATTTCTTTTAAGTCCTGCTGCTGCAGTTCTGCAGCCTCGCTGCCTGAACTCTCTGGGGTCAGAGCACTGGGAATGTAGACACAGCATCTAGGGCCTACAGGCTTTCATCAACAGCCAACGAAAATGTTTGAGAGCTGGAAACAAACAGATAGGCTCCACAATTTGCAAAGAAAATGACAGAATTGAAATTAATACATGTTTAGCTACGGAACCTAACATTATGTCAGATGGTCAACTGCAACTCAGTTCAACTCTTGAGAGCTATGTGTGGGTTATATTTTTTTATGTGGTTCATTTGAATATGCGATGAGATGCAGGGCGGGGCCTCCAAAAGTGAGCATCCGGGAGCTCTTGAGATGCCCTGCCTGGGGTTTGGCCACAGGATTGTTTCCCTGACTTGATCCCAGGACCATGGAATGTGGGAGCTGGGAGGACCCTCAGGGCCACAGGCCCACCCCTCTATCAGTTATCTGTCGGGGTAACAGAGACCTCCTTGAAGGAAGGGTCTCCTGATTTACCCCCATGATCTGGATGTGTCCTTCCACCAGCGCCCAGCCTATGGGCTTCTCCTTCCAGCTGGAGCTGGTTCTGGGGGTGCTGCCCTGAGCAGGGGACCTTGGGCCACGTGGCAGAGCTGGGTTAGGGAGAACCAGGCACCCGCACCCTGCCTCCCTCCTCTCTCCCAGGTTCTGGATTTGTGGACTCCACCCTCAAAGCCTTTTAAGCCTTTTCTTGCATAAAGATTTTCGTTGTGACCTTGGAGACACCAGCATGAGTGATGTGGGAGGAGGGCGGTGGTTCGGTTAGAATTTAGGGCTTGGTGAGGGCCTGTTGTTTATGCGCAGCATTGCAAAGCTGAAGGCTTGTCCTCAGACCCACCCTACTTCCCTGTCCTTCCTCCCCCCAGGGATGCAGACACCACACCAGGGCCTTCCCCACCTTGCGGAGGCAGCCCCCCAAAGGCACTACTTCTCCCCCTGCCCCCGCCCCAGCCCCATCCACTTGTGCTAAGTGGCTGAGGATGAGGCAGAGGATGAAATAAATTAGTCTGAGGTACCAGTGGCTGCCAGCCTAATTGTTCATCTTCTGGGGATGTTTGCATTTTTAACAAGAACACTTGGCAATTTGAAGGAATTTTCAATGTCTCCCCATCTCTCCCTGGTGTGGATTCAATGCGATGATAAATGTAAAAACATTTGGTAAACTCTAAAGTGCCAGGCAAATAAAAGGTAACATAATTAAGGGGGAAGAGGAGCGACTGTGGACGGTCAGGGCTTGGGACACTGGGCTATGAGGGAAGGAAGAGGGAAGGCGGAACAGTGAGAGGCAAGGAAGAGGAGGGAGAGGCTGAGAGGAGGCCCTGGACTCCTCCTGGCCCCTGGCCTGCCTTCTTCCCTTCTGCAAACCCGCTCCCCTAGGCAGGGGTGGAACCAGAGGGACCTTTTGGCCAGTTAAAGGTCAGCTGTCCTGTAGGGACAGAGGGGCTCCTGTCTGGAGGCTGAGAATTGGCTCTATGCCTAAAGGGTGGGCAGGGGAGGCAGCTCACGCCCTGGCATCCTCTCCCCTGGCCTGGCCTGGAAGGGGAGCTGTGAGCTGGAGTGGTCACCAGGGCAGGCCCCACCTGTCCCATGGTGTGCTCCCTGCTGCTGCTGGGCCGCAGCGCCCACAGGGACAGGAAAGCAAGCTGTGAGCGGCCCTGGGGCGGGAGCAGGAGCCTTATCCCCATCCTGCCTGGGGTACTTCTGGCAGGCTCTAGATCCTGGGGCCCAGAGATAAAAGCATTTTCCTTTGGCCAATTCTCCAGGCAAGAGAGGGAAAGCAGGAGGCCTGTGTCTGTCTCCCTAGCTGTGGACAAGTCCCTGTGCCCCAGTTTCCCCATGTGCCAGCTGGGGTAGGGGCCCCTAATCCCCAAGATTCTGGGGTGCTCAGGAGATGCTTAAGCGGGAGCGTGGGAGGGGGCCTGGCCGTTCCCTGGAGTGATGGGGCTGGGGGTGGCCTGGGGTGATGAGGCACCTCAGGCGGTTCTGCCTGTTCTCTGGGACGTGCTGGACCAGGACGGCCGGCTGCCCCAGGCACTGCAGTGCAGTGGGTGAGCAGGTGTGCTTCCCAGGTCGCCTGCCTGGGTCCAAATCCCAACTCTCCTCTGCGCTGCATGTCTGGGGTCCGATTACTTAGCCTTCCCGTGGTCCTAGTGTCCTCATCTGCAAACTTGGGGCCGTAATAGTATCCATGTCGTTGGGTATAACAACTTCCAGGAGAGGCAGGTTAGTGTATGGGTTAAGAATGTGGCCTCTGGAGTTAAACCACCGGGTTCAAATCCTTTGATAAGATGCAATCCTCTTGGGGCCTCAGTTTCCTCTGCTGTAAGATGGGGATTCAGTGAACAATTTTCTGGGTCAGCAGTTGTGGAGGGGCTGCCTGCTGAGTTTTCTCATGAGTCTCTGGCATATCAGTAGTTGCTGTGGCAGCATCTCAAGGGTCTGCAGGCAGGGCTGAGGGAGAAGGCCTCTTGGCCTTGGAAGACAGCTCTGGTTTGGCCACATGCCAGCTGTGGTGCCAGTGCTTGGTAGTCACCATCTCTTCTAACACAGGCACCTGGGAAGTGGGCACTATTTTTTTAAAAAAATATATTTCTTTATTGATTTCAGAGAGGAAGGGAGAAGGAGAGAGATAGAAACATCAATGATGAGAGAGAATCATTGATTGGCTGCCTCCTGCACACCCCTTACTGGGGAATGAGCCCACAGCCCAGGCATGTGCCCTTGGCTAGAATCGAACCTGGGACCCTTCAGTCCGCAGGCTGACGTTCTATCCACAGCCAAGCCAGCTAGGGCAGGAAGTGGGCACTGTTATACGGCTAGATGGGGGAACTGGGGCACAGAAGGCTTAAGTGCCCTGCCCAGGATGGCCTAGCTAGTTAAGAGAGGGTCTGAGTGTGAAAGCCAGCGCTAACCACTGAGTAGTCCCGGGTTGACTGGCATCTCCAGGGGCCTGTTCTGGGTACCTGTCCTGTGGTCATAGCTGGGTCCCTGCTGAGCTTGGGTGAGTGTCTGCCTTCTTTACCCTCCTCCCCCACTTCTCACCCCTGGGTGGACCAGATCACCCTGGTCCTGCCTCTCACAATGAGGGAGGGCTTGGAGGTGGTGGTGCGTGCAGCGAAGGACCTTGGAGGCCGCCGGGCTGGCCCCGGGGCAGATGCTCGCAGGTCTCCAGAGCAGGGAACAACTGAGACACATCCCTTCATGTCTCTCCCCCACCTCCCAGGATGTGAGGGGCTGCTCACTCAGGAATGCCTCTGGTGAGGGGCTGGCGTCTCAAAATAGGTGGAGAGTAATGTGTCCAAGGTGAGATGAGGCCATTGTGGAAGCAGCCTGCCTCTGCTATTTCAGGCCAGCCAGGGAGTGGACAGGAGCGGCCGGGCCAGGCCAGGACCTCTGGAGCCCACTGGGTGACTCAGGGGAGGGTGGGGGCACTGAGCCAGGCACTCTGGAACGAAATCGTCGCTGGCCTGGGCCTGACTTACCTTGTCCCCTCCCTGGAATAAGGGGCGGCCAACACTGGGGTCAGAGCTCCTGTTTCTCTGGGCAGCCCTCCAGGTGACCTTGACCGTTCTGTGTTTAACTCCTCCCTCGCTGCCTGTATCCCCACCCTCCATCCTCCCAATTCCGGACTCAGGTGGGTGGCATTGTGACGCGTAGTGCATTCCTCCACTCGCTAGGACAGCCCTGATTCATCTCAGCCGCAAAATGAAGGAAGAAAGCGCCACCTGGGGACTTCGTTCTCCCAGGCTGGCGTGGCCCTTGCCAACCATAGAGCCCATCTAATGCCATCCTGCCACAGTGGGGAAACCGAGGCTCGGGAGGGGAAGGGACCTGCCAAATTGGGAGGCAGTCCCCACGTGCGGAACCCACCTTTGCATGATCATAGCTTCTGCTGTACCGGCAACCACACTGGTGTGGCAGGTTGGGCGATGTTGCCAGAAGTCATGACATAAGAAGTGGAGCTGGTACTTGAATCTAGGGCTTCAACTCCACATCCCTTTCCACCTGCTTTAGAACTCAGCTTGTTCGGCTCCTACACACCCCTATGTCAGGTGGCTCCCCAACTTCTCAAACCCTTAGGTGACAGGGAGCTTGCTGCCACGCAGCGTGGCCCATTTCACAGCATGGATAAGCCCAGGAGATTGAACCAGAAAAGAGAGGGAGAAGGAAGGGTGTGCTTCCCCATGGGGGATCGAGGCTGGGGTGACCATGGGTTCTTGGGGACCATTGTGACTCACCTGCATTTAAACTAAAAGGAGGGGGAAGCGAAGAAAGGGGAAGAATCAATGGAAGCTCAATGTCAAGAACTTTCTGACCCTAGACGTGTCCAGGCCTTGGGAGAGGTGACTGGGAGGCAGGGGGCCGCCTGCTCTCTCAGGGACCCCTTTGTTTGGGAGCAGTGCCCTCTGCTGAGCCCAATGGCCCGGTGTCTTAGATTGGGCTGCCACCACAAAGCAACACGGAGTGAGAGGCTTAGAAAATAGACATGAATTTTCTGACAGCTCTGGAGGCCGAAAGTCTGAGATCAAGCTGTCAAAAGGGTTGGTTCCTTCTGCGGCCTCTCTCCTG